CACGAGCAAAATGGCTGCAGAGTCTTATTCACAAGGCATCAATCAACAAAAGTGTGTCGGGCCTTTTCGATGTTCTGATTGGTCGTCTAGACATCAGCATCTAAAGTTGGAGTAGCTAAAAATATGCAAGACGTGTTGTGTAAATTGACGCCTCGGGAAAATATGTTAAACATTACAGATTATGTTTTAAGATGGAATACATCTATATCAGGTGACTGACTGACGCATCCTCAATAAACTATTTACACTGAATGTCTCGTGTTAATGTAGTCAGAACTGAAACAAATAAGAATACGTACCACTCGGAATTTCGACGAATTCTCCTACTGGCGACGCGAGTGAACCGTCAGTTCTCCGAGCTTGCAAAATAAATCCTTTAAACGTATTTGTTCCGAAGATTTTCACTGTGAGATTTTGTCCAGCAGTGTATGAACTGTTGTACACGCTGATGCTGTACGGTGACTTTCCAGTCTGCGCTTTGTTATTACTGTGATGAGGAACCATGTCCTCGCACGTGCCCGGCGGAGGACCTCTGGAATACGCCCATATTTCTGACAACTTCACAACCAGAACAAGTGTGACCTGAAATAAACGAACAAGGAAGAACATTTTGGGATTTGGGAAACCGGGATTACCTTGCAACAGCACGATAGGGGATGAGAGAGAAGGCAAAACTCTCTATCACTTATCCTCATTAGATCTTGCCTATATGAAGTCAACATTCAAAATTCTCCCTGACGATCTCCATACTGTAACGGTAAGTTTTTCCCATGAACGGACGAGGGAGGCGACTAATCAAATTCCAGTATCATGCACAAGTTTGTCATTGTTTAGCCTGCGTGGCAGGTGTTAAAGGGGGAGAGAGGGAAACCAGAAGCGCGAAGTTCGCTTCTCTGGCCTTCACCGTCCACAAAACACCGTAGGTCTTTCCCTGATTGCGCGCAACTAACAAATGCAGACTTTACTTTCACGGGCATTCAAGCAACGTGCGTGACCTTCCAATGAAGATCCTGACATCTTGATTCCTCCTTCAAAGTACACCTTTTTCATAAGAACGTTGAGGCTGAGATTAACCAAAATTTTAAGAACGTGTTAAGAACTTTCCTCAGGCTGAGAGTCGATTAAGTACGTTTTTATTTTGCTAATCTGCATATTAAATGACAAGCATAAAATAAAGGTAACAAAAAATGTAAATTAAAGGAATGTATCGTATGACATAAACAATGGTTCTCTTATTGCATGACACACATCTCGATTTGTAATAATCGGCAGTTCTTATTTATAACTGTTCCAAAATAACTTCCACACCTTCAAAGTCATGTAAATTTAAGAACATCTTAAGAACTTTTTCAGCCTCAAAAAGCAAAAAAAATATAAGAACGTTG